CACACCCCAGAGAGTTTAAGCAAATTTCCTGAAAGTTAGCCAGTGGAAATTTGTGGAACATTGCCAAATTGTCTAACTCTACCATTTCAGTACAGAAGTAAAATGTAGCATATTAGATTCCGTTACAGTGATTTTGAACTAAAATACCTGGTTCAAGAAGAATTTGAAATATGGTGATTACCAGAGGGAAAAGGAGTTGAGAGGAGGCTGAGGGTCAATGTTAGGATACTTAGACTTTGGGTGGTGAGCACACAATGCAATGGACAGGTGATGTATTATGGCAGTGTACACTTGAAATTTATATAATGTTATTAAATAATGTCACCCCAATATACTTAATTAAAAAATAATTTGAAGTAAAAAAAATATAGTCCCCTCATGATAAATTAGTAAGGAAAGATGTACCACGGGACTATTTAGCAAGCATTCCATAGCAAAAGATGGCTCCTTAATCTTTAAACAACCATGACTGTTTATGAGGGATGCCATATGAGTACATGGATTTGGGGAGGTGTCTTTTGGCAAACACCTCAACATCATTACTATAGTCCGTGGGCAGCATCAGTTTTATAAGGCGTCTTTTAAAATAAGCACATGATTATTTTAGGAGTAATAACAACAACAAAAAATCCAACAAAGTAACCTAAACTTGATAATAACCAAATTTTACAAAGAATGTAGATATTTGGGATTATAATTAGATACTAAGATAAAAGTGTTTAATGAAAGTCTTAGCTTTGTCTGAGGCTTCATGGGGTATGTGCAAACTACTCGCATCATTCAAAATGAGGTGTGAGAGCACCATATGGAACTGGTGAAGTAGATGGTCAAAAGCTAGTTTTATGTAAGTCTTCACTGACACTGAAGGTGTGAAAGGGAAGACATGGAAATTAGGAGAGGATTTCTAGAGCCATGAGAGAACGGTGAGTCCCCTTCCCTCAGCCCCCTTATTATGCCCAGGAAAGAAGCATTAGGAGAAACACTCAGAGTTCCGCATGTGTCCCTTGCTCCTTGGAAGACTCAGTGGACTCAGTCTCAGGCCAGACAAATTAATGGGTAGGAGGCTGACTGTGGCTGGCTGGCTGCCCTGATGGTAGAACTAAGAGAAACTGATACATTGGGGCAGTCTGATTGTCCACACTTTGTTGGGAGCAAAGAATGTGTGAGAGTTTCCCAGAAACCAGATGAGGAAAAGGAGAGATAGTGGAACAGGGTGGGTAGTTTTGTTCCTCTCTAAGAAGATTTCCTGGAGAGATTCTCTCAGAAGAGAGAAGCTGGGGGTGTACTCTGGATGTCTAAGGGCTAAGGTAGGAATCCTGGGCAATCAGTCAGTGGTTATGCATTGCCCCTCACCACAAGAACTTTGGAAAAGCAGTCCCCAGCAATGGGCTTCTCTCTAAAGAATTTTGAAAAGTATCCCCAAAGAAAAATAGAGCTTTGCATACCTACCAAGCCCAGAGAATATTATCTCCAGTTGTCTATGATAGTATATTCCTGCTCCCTCATATTCTTCCCGATCTCTACCAGTTCCACTTTGGAAGAAGTCAGAAACCATGGATGAACAGTCTGGGGGGAGAGAGGTAGAAGTATAAGATAGAAATAGAGATGAAGCTGACCGTCTTTTGAGCAGGTTCAAGCTAGGAAGAAGAGAAGATTGGGATAAATATAGTTGGGAGTTCTTACAATTACATGGGCCAGGTCATTTCAATATTAGAACTGTGATTTTGGGGACAAAAGTGACCAGAACTTACTTGGAGAATGACCAAAAAAAAAAAATACCTTCCCTAAAGTGCATCTAAAACAAGAAAAGAAATGGGCCTACAGATTGGATTTGAATGGACAGCTCTTTCCTGGTGGCCCACTTGAGTCCTTCATGTTCAGTGTAATGTAATTGTCTGCCTCTCTTCAAAGCCCCAGGTTGCTTCCATTGTTAATTTTATTCTAGTCCCTAGAATAAAAGGACCTTCACACCCCTCTATATTTCAGTAGCTCAGGATCCACTTAACTTATTGTGGCCCTTCTAACCTTGTGCTTTGAACTTTGTTTTAATAGCCAGAGTTTTACATCCTTTCTTGTCATCAAGCACCCACATTGTTTTCTAACTTTAAGTTTTTATGTCCACCTGACAGCCTTCAGCTGTTCTTTCTGGGGCTTGAGCTCCGGTTCCCTGGCTGGAATCCCATCATGCATTGCCAATCCACCTGCCTGTGAGCCAGCCCAGCTTGTGGCTTGTTTCCAGACTCCCTCTGGCTGTGCAGAGCCTACTTGCTCACTCACAGACCTCCCTGATGCGCAACTCCTGCCCAGACTTCTCCCTGCTGACGTTGAGCCCCTCTGCATTATTGTTACTGTGAAAGCCCCAGTTACTGCCCCATGCCAATGAGCTTACCTTATCTCCTGGCCCAAGAACCCTTAATAATTAGGCCCAGGCCCCTCAGTCTTCTAGACTGTCTTTAAAGCCATGCAGGACACATTCCCCAATTTAAGAAATATTTATAGTATTTAGTGAATCTTCTGGTCTTGGAGTTTTAGAGTAACAAAAATAAAAACATATCCATAAGTGCCTTATGTTAGAAAAACCCATTTATACAATGAATAAACTGACCAAAAAAAAGTTTAATATATTTTTCTAAATCCACTTCTCTGTGAATTGCTCTTATACTTTTCTATTCCTTCCTTACCCATTCTTCCAGTTTCAGTTACAGCAAGGAGAGGCCTCTTCTGCAATCCCAAGTCAATTTATCAGGCCACCAGGAAAGTCAGTCTTTTCCAAATCCACCACTACTTCTAGGAGCAGTGCCCCTGGGTAGAACAGGAGTCTAGGTTTTATCATGTGATTTGATTTGTGGAGACCCAGATTCATGATTTATTAGGTCATCAGGAAAAGCAATAGACCTGTGATGCTGATGATGTTGTCAAGAATGTAGGCTTGGATGTACATTTGTACGAAGCAAGTTCCCTTCCTGTCTTTCCCTGTTTCTGCTCTATCCAGATTCCCATCCAGTTCATTCCTATGGCAGTTGTACTGTGAAGCCGATTCTGGAACCTTACCACACACCTCTGGTTCCTTTGGTTACAATGTCATTTTAATACAAATTGCTAAAACAACATTAGTTCTTAAGAAAACATTTTAATTGTTTTTATAGCTATAATTTTATTTAATCTTTACACGTTATTTAAAGCAGGACTAGGGACCAACAGTGCCATTTTACAAGGGTACCAGTGACACTGAAAAGTTAAGAAATTTGATCATAGTAAGTACTTGGTAAAGTTGGATAAACCCCCACTATCCTGACTCACAGCCCAGCATTTTTTCCATTATGCTAACCCTTATTATTATTAGTGGTTTTTTTTTAAATTGATGTATAATTGACATATAACATTATGTTAGTTTCAGCTGTACAATATGATCCAATATTTGTGCATATTACAAAATGATCAACACAATGAGTCTAGTTAACATCCATCACCATACATAGTCACAAAATTTTGTTTTTCTTGTGAAGAGGACTTTTTAAGATCTAGAAAAATTATTAATTATTAAGATTAGGTTTGGTTGCAATTGATGGGAAAACAAAACAATCGTGGTTTAAACAAGATAGAATTTTATTTATCTTGCAATTTGTCCAAAACTAGTATGATGCCTCCATGGTCATCAGAGAGCCAAGATCCTGGGTAATTGCTTTGACATTCCCAATATCTGGCTTCTTCATCTTTTCAAGATTGTTGCTCAAGTTTCAGCCATGAGGTCCACAGTCTATCCATCTAAATAAGGATAGGGACAAAACATGTTTCTCTTCGAAGACATTTTCTAGAAGACATAAGGACACTTTTGCTAAACCCCATTGGCCAGAATTGAATCACATGACCTCAGTAAGCTGCAAGGGAGGCTGGGAAGAATAACTTTATGCTGGGTGGCCTTAATAAACTTATGAGTTCTATTATTAAGGAAGAAAGAGACAAGGGAGATTGAGGTGACAGCTAGCAGTTCCTACCACAACTTTGCATTTTACATTTTGCCAGATGTATGTTTTCCTTAGATTACTTTTTTATTTATATCTGCTTGTTTATGAAATACTATTAGGATTTTAAGTCTCTTCTTAAATCTACGAATGTCATAAATGTCAATAATAAAAAATTATTTAAAAATTTTATCTTCACCATAATCAATCTTTAACATGACATCTTGCCTGGACTTTAATTAAGAATTTCTTTGATTTTATTTGTGTATAATACAGAATCCTGTATTAAATACTCAGATATATTGATTAATAAAATAAAGTTTATATGCCAACTCTTAGATCAATCCCGCATTATTACTCATTTGGACTCCTAATAGTTGCCTCGCTCAAACTCTTTCTCTTAAACATATTGAAAATATCACTGCTAAAATAATTTCCTGAAGTGAAGGTACAATAATGTCACTTTTCCATATAAATGCCTTATTGAGTTCCCCATTTTCTCTAGAATGAACCCAAGTTGGTTAGCCTGGAATTTATTGTTTTCCACAACATTATCTAAGCCTCAATCTTTAGTTTTGTCTCCATTATATCCTTGGTAACACTCATCCTTAGAGGAAATATTCTATACATCCCATAAATGCCTGACACTTTTACTTCTCTCTAACTTTGCTTATGAAGTTTTGTCTGCTTGAACCAAGTACTTCCCCCACCTCGCCTCACACACACACATTTATTCTTCTACATGTTTTATTGTTATTTTAGGCTCTATGAAATGTCGCCTCTCCATGAAGCCCTGGCCTAATACCAATATTTTTCTTAAACCAATTACTATAGGATGGGTTTTTAAGGAGTTTGTACATTTCTTATTCTGTTATCATATCCATTTATTAAATAAATAAATAAATTTTATTTCATTTTAATTCACCCTACAACACTTTGTAAGGTATATACAGTATGTATTGAATGAATGAATAACATAATGTTTTGGCTTTCTCTTTGAGGTAGGCTCCTTGGAAGCAAACATATCATAAGAGATGAAGAAACATAGGCTCAAATTTTTTACTTCCAGTTTAATTCTAGTACCAGTCAAAAGAAAGCGAATGCCATTACTATTTGATACCAAATGAATAATTCACAAATTCAGAATCAGTTTAACATTTATTGTGAGAAAAACAATAGCAACAAAAATACATTACACATTCCATATCTTTTGTCTTCATAGTGTATCTTATTAAGTTATGCCATTCCCTCAGCGTGATAGTTTAAATTTATAGACAAATATTTTTGCAACAGTGAAAACAGAAAAAAAGGTGGGTATTTCAAGTTAGGACAAACCCGATTAACATCAAATTTGGGCAGCACTCACACCAGATAATTAAGCTGATAACTTGTGAACTCTTAAAATAGAATGTGGTAGCTATCAGAGCCAAAATACAAGTTACAACAAATTAGAATTGCTTCTCTTTTTACTAGGGTTATCATAAGCAAAATTAGGAAAACATTATGTACCAAGTATATCTTTATTTATTTTCTTTGCTACTTAAAAGTATTCTTTATGTAATATAGAAATAATATAACAGCAATAAAAAATAAATGAGAAACAAATATTACCACCAAATAAAACTTCTCTTTCCAAATTCCTACCAGTTCTTTTCATTTATTTAATCACCAAACATTTGATGAACAACTTCCCTATATGTCATATAAAATATTTTTGTTTTAATAGTTCTTTTCATTACTTTTCAGATATCTACATGGGTAAAATGGTGAATTATGAGTTTAATGACAGTATGACCAGATTAATTTCCAGTTCGTTAAATAACATCTAAAGGTTGTAGATTACTGATTTGGTGTCAACTTGAAGGGATGCTAAAATTTCTCTTTTGGGGCCCAATCCTTGTGATTATGTTCATCAGTCTTTAATGTTGAAAGAAGTAATGCTCATAAAGTGTGCAGATGTGCCAATGAAACAAAATCGTAGGTGATAAGTAATATCACAGATGATACAATTAGAATTTAATTCTACTCTCATCATGTCGTAAGCCCCAGGAATTGTGTCTACGTTGTTGATATAATTATACTGATGGTAACTAATGCTTTTAAAAGAGAGCTAATTATGTAGCAGCCATTGTGCTAAATATTTTGCCAATTCTATTTAATCCTCACCAAAATTTTAGGAGGCAATAATTTCATAGATGAGGTAATGAAGGTTCAATTGTTTAGGTAACAATCTAGTGAGGAGCAAAATCAGAATTTTAAGTCTGATCTTCTAACTATAAAACCTGTTTTCTTGTTCTTTAACTTCTTTGTACCTGAGTACACTCGGGCTGGGATAGGACCTGCAACCCAAGTACATGCCCTTGAATCGGAGTCGAGCCCTGTAACCTTCGCTGCATTTGCCCGTTTTTATATTGGTTGTTTGTCTTCCTGTGTTACTTTGTATAAATTCTTTATATATTTTTGGAAATTAATCACTTCTGAGATGTATCATTGGTAAACATGTTCTCCTATACAGTGGGTTCCCTTTTTATTTTGTTGATGGTTTCTTTTACTGTGTAGATTTTTTAGTTTGATGTAGTCCCATTTGTTTATTTTGTCCTTTGTTTCCCTTGCCCTAGGAGATATATCAGCAAAAATATTACTAGGCGAGATGTCTCAGATTTTACTGCCCATGTTTTCTTCTAGGATTCCTTTGGTTTCATTACTTACATATAAGTCTTTAATCCATTTTGAGTTTTTCTTGAATATGGTGTAAGTTGGTGATCTGGTTTCCTGTATTTGCATGTACCTGTTCAATTTTTCCAACACCATTTATTGAAGAGACTCTTTATTCCATTGTATGCTCCTGCCTCCCATGTCAAATATTAAATGAGCATAATGACTTGATTAATTTCTGGGTTCTCTGTTCTATTCCATTCACATACAAGCCTGTTCTGCCAGTACCAGGCTGTTTTGATTACAGTGGCTTTGTAGTACAGTTTGGTATTTCAGTATTGAGATCCCTCCAACTTTGTTCTTCTTTCTCAAGATTTTGGAGGCTATTTAGGGTCTTCTTTGGTTCCATATATGTTTTGAAGTATTTGTTTTAGATCTGTGAAATATGCCATTGGTATTTTATAGGAATTGCATTGAATCTGTAGATTGCTTTGGGTAGCATGGATATTTTAATAATATTAATTCTTGCAATCCATGAACATGGTATATGTTTCCACTTGTTTATATCTTTCTCTCTTTCTTCATTGTCTTATAGTTTTCTTAGTACAAGTCTTTTACCTCCTTGGTTACGTTTATTCCTAAATATCTTAATTTTTTGTTGCAATGACAACTGGGATTGGTTTTTTTTTTTTTAGTTTCTCTTTCTGAGAGTTCATTATCCTATATAATAAAAGCCTAGGGGGCATCACACACGACGTCATCACAAGATGGCCGCCACAAGATGGCCACCCTCACATTGTCACAAGATGGCCACTACAAGATTGCCGCCAGAAGATGGTCACCAAAAGATGGCTGGCAAGGGAGGGCAGTTGTGGGCGATCAGGCCTGCAGGGGAGGGCAGTTGGGGGTGACCAGGCCTGCAGCAGGAGGGCAGTTAGGGGATACCAGGCCTGCAGGGGAG